TGGCGTAAGTTCTTTGGACTGTACTGCAATGTGTTCTTTGTCGCTCCATTCCCCAACTCGGCTCGTTTTCCGAGAGTCACAATCGTGGATCGAGTCTCTGTGGCGAACGCCTGAGATTGCACCCAGTTTCTCAGGGTGTCGTACGAATCATCGGTATAGAGGACCTCCATAGAAAACGCTGAGAACGGTTAGAGTTTGGTAGCCCTGTGACATCGACATGGTAGACCAACTGAAATATTTCTCCACGATCCTAGCAACACGGCCATGCGCAAACCTTATCAAGAAAGTGACCAGGCCATACAGGCAGAATAGCCGGGCGCCGAGATGAGATTTGCCGGACGTCAGAGGTTGGATATAGCTTAATGCAATGCTAAAACCAGGGAACAAGGTGTCCAAGAAGGATACCTGCGAGTAAAGAGCGCCAAGGACGTTGGATGCCATGGTTTGCGAAAACGCACACGAACGAGAAAAAATAGTGAGTAGAGAGTGAATAGCGACTGTATTGTGTTTCTACTAATGTCAGATAGTAATTTCGTATTTTGGAACTGGCATTTATATAGTCCAGCAAGCCTAGCTAATGTTTGAGGAGAGCCATGGGCCCTCCGCTGGCTACATTAGAGCTGGCCGCTGTTTCTAGCAATGTGATACATCAGGACCATGTGCATACTCGATGCAGCCACAGCACATTGTCGACATCTACGCACTTCATCCAACCGATTTGGACCGGGCTTCACGTTGCTATTATCGCCGATGTGTTTCCTCAGATGCAAGCTGCGAGTGAGGTTGTTTGCTAATTGGTTGCCTTAATACTTTAAATGGATCATTGTACAACATTCTGGCTCTAGGTACAGCCATTCTGGCTCTACCCCCTGCTTGAGCTTATGTTGCCACGTCACCTGCATCTGTCAGCCCAAACCCTGGACGGGCACAAAAAGGGCTACCCTGCCCCTCCTTTGGCTACTTATCCTGCTTCGTTCCAAAACCACCCGCCTCCATCGATTCACACTCCCCGCCACATGGATGCACAACAATATTTGCAACGAGTCTCATCATTGTTTAACTCCTTCGACGCGGAGGTGCTTCTCAGAGCTGGAAATGTACCCGTCGGGAGTGCACTCGAAGCTGTGAACAGGCTACGGTGCGAGTTGGAAATCCTCGATCTTTTGAGACCTGCATTGACCGCACTGTCGCCAGACTTTACGACCTTTGAGCCACATATCCTAGTAAGACTCAGACGATTTCTTGTCTACGTATTCGGGACACGAAATGATCCGAAGACTGAGGCCATTCGAAAACTGGATTGCACGTCCGTCAAAATCTGCGGATTATGTCTCACACAGAAAGGCCTCCGAGATCTGAAACTCGAGCAACTGGATGTGCTTATACGAAGGACTGAGGTTGCCTCTAGACATCTGCTTCATGTTATCGCTGGAAATGATGACATTGACAAGGTAGTACGACTGTGCAATGTCGAAGGCGATGAGTATGAGCAGTTTTTTAACGGTAAGGACCCCAAACCTACGTTTGCAATTCAACTAAGAAACCTAGATCACAAGAAAGTCCGGCGAGTAGGCAAGGGCTCGACTCAATTGGCTGTGCAATATTCCTTGGCCGGACAGGGGTGCTGGTGCTTTACCGGCGTTTCGCAGAAAGCGATCCACGCTTCATTTGCCATTCCGACATCGAGTGCCGTTCGAGACATAACAACGTTTTTGCCAGTAGACGAGCGGTATGATGGTGTCATGAGGATGACTGTTGGCTTCGACACTGAGCTGCTTAGGACACTATTTGGGCACCAAATACCGCAGCCTATCGTTTCAGGTACGCTAACATAAACCACAATACAACTTCGCTAAGAATTTGCAGAACCCTTTGCGCTGGAACGCGCGATTAAAAGTCAGATTGGCGCGGTTCTGGGCAGTACTGTGGTACGCGGCGTAACGACAACCCACACATGGGCAAAGGAGATACAAGATGGGCTGGCGATTGAGACATCTTGTGTCAGTGGCCACATTTATCCCGGCTCCTGCATTATTGTCACGTTGCGCATCGGCTGGAGAGAATGTTTTCAAAGCGTGCAGGTTTTATACAGTTGATAAAATTATTCACTTGCAAATAGCCCAGCCCCCTTTCGCCAAGACGCGTATGCCCGCTGGAACTTTGATCTGTCCACTACCGTGGGTATCCCATACAGTTATGCCATTCTCATCTTTGAATAGAATGTCCTCGCATGCCTTGCAATAGAAGTCTCTATCGTAACTTGTTTGTTCGAACAAATGCACCGGCTTCTTATGTTCGTCCGCGAATTGCATCGTCGTCGAGTCCTGCCAGCTATCCCTCTGCAGCTGTTAGCTAAGGCCTATTCAACGGCGTAGGCAATATCTCACCAGATCTGCTTCCGTGATAGCCATGGCGCCAACGACCATGCAGGCTTCTGGAAGTGCGAGCGCAGTAGTATAGTTCGGCGGTTCAAATCAGTGGGAGGTTCCGAATATTTGTCGCAGGAGATACAGAGTTCTGTTCGATGGAGCTAGGTCACACTCGAGTTGAAGACGCGAGGTGGAGTTCGAGCATGTGATCCTAATCGTTCGTGGCTTCGGCGCCTTCGTTCGGTTCGGTTCTAGAAGAATGCGAGGCATATTTATCAATACGGCTTGGCATAACGTAAGAGGGAGGGCAGTCCTACTGTGGTCTTTAGGTTCATACTGCGAAAAATGCACTACAAGAGGAGGGGAAATTGGGCATCAAGGCTACGACGAGAACGATTGTTTGTCAACGCAAATACCCACAAAGGTGCAGGCCATCCAAAGGCCGTCTCGGATTATTTAATAGGCGAGGCGTCTGCCAAACTCGAACGTTAACTTTTTTGTCCGCCCGTCACATGACATGACTAAGCGTTCATCGCTGGAACGCGCGACAGGGCTCTGGGTTACAGAGGCGATACTTTCAAGCAAATCTTCGACACGGTGAAAAGCCCGCGTTAGTTCTTGCCAATCGTGTTTCTAATTCACGATTGGTCAAAAAGAACAGCTGGAAAAGCTAATGCAACAAGCCGAGCTACGTGCCGAAGCCTATAAGAAGCAGACTGGTGCAACAACGCAAAACGGTTGCCTCAACGATGGCCGAAATGGAAATTGAAGACCTTAAAAAGCAACTCAAGGAAGCTAGGGCGCGAGAGGAGAACGAGCGACGCAAAAACCAGAGGACGACGTTAGCGGAGTACTTGTACAACTGTCACTTCGACCTGTACCAAAAACTCAGGCTCGCTGGTCCATCGGAGAGCTCTACTGGCTTGGCGACATCGGTCTACGGTAAATATTATCCCAGGTGGTTTCGCCCTTGGCATGCCTTTACCGACAGCCAGCGACAGGAACACTTCGACGATGTCATCCGCATCTGCGGCGAGAGGCGTCTTTTTCAACAAGCGAGCACAACAAGAGATAACGGACTCAATTTCGAGCGGAAAAAAGCCGGTTACGAGAATGCTATCGACCATTTCGAAAAAACAGCAGTCGAAGACCCTACGTGGATGATTCTGGAGCCCGTTTGGGCTGACAGGGAGCTGCGCCA